TACAACTGGATTGTTTACATTCCGAACAAAAAACGGCTGCCGCTAGTCACACAGGACTTTTGTGTTTTTTGTTTATCTTTTCAATCCACAAAGATAATTTTTCTTTCTGCATAACACCGGTAATAAGAGAACGAAATTGTAAACCTTTTACAAAAAAACCACAACAGTTATCGGGGAGGTATTGGAACACCCTCGCAGAAGTCGAGAATCTTCATGGAAATCCCCAGCGATAAATTAAAATTCTCTTCTCTGATAAGTGTGTGTCATTTTCTCTTTGGTAGCTTTTTTGGCCGTTTCTATGTTGAATAATGGTAAATATATTTAATTCAATCTTTATGTAATTAGTACGCTTCAATATAGAATAAGCCGTCCATATGGAAATCCGTATTTCAGTGATGATGGAACCTCTACATCCCGTTTTTTAATTCTACGAGAGAACAATTTCATTGCCTTTTGTAGCTTGGGGATGACTTTTTTCCTTTTAGAACGTATCAGATCTAATTTTCAGACATACTTTTGGTTTTTGTTCAAAGAATATCAAACTTGACTTGCATTCGAGATGGCGCACCCCGATTTCAGCGAGTTCGTTTCAACCTAAAGTTAATTTGATTTCCCGCCAAAACAGGCATCGTTTATTTTTTGCATCTCTGGTCAAATGGAATATCCATAGTTTTTATTTACTTTGTTCTACGCAAATAAAAAAAAAAATGAAAAATAGCTTTCGCAATCATTTTGACACAAAAAAAAAGTCTCCAAAAGGTCAAATGTAGATATGACACAAAAAATTATAAAGCGATTTTTCGCGGTGTCGTCTGTTAACCTCTTGCGATTTGCCAAGATATGCCAAATTGTGATATCTTTTCAATATCTGCAATCGAAAGACATGTATTCCGGCGTACTGCCAAATGTTTGCCCAACTAAAATTTCTTTATCCATATGCATTTCAAGTGACAAATTGGGTCAACAACATGTCAAAATTTGAGTCACTAGAAAAGTATTTCTTGAAGTAATTTCTAAAGAAGGTTTTTTTCATTGTCAGGTACGTATCATTTTTTTTTCTCAGACTATTCAATACTTTGGTTTTCGATTATCGACAGGGAATCATTAATTCATAAACAGGCGTTGTAACTTGTCTGGGAAACCGCCAAAAAATTTAACGCAGGATGATATGGGCAGATTCTCGGTTAAATTCATTTCCCAAAGAAATTGTGAAGTGAAATATGGATCCAGTCAACGGCTTTTCAGCTGCATCTCAAGTAGCGCTCTCTTTAAAATTATTCGCTTTTGGCGGAAAGAAGTCATACAGCGAACCTGACATGAAGACAATACATAATTTTCATTTTCTGACATCTTTTACACAAAATAATCTCCCCAAAATTAATCACGTTAACATTTCAGCGTATAGAGATAATTAAGCAATTGAGGCCTCCTTTGCATAGAGAGCTGAAAAATCCCAGCTAATCTCGCAATCATGGCAAATCCTTGCTAATCATTTATTAAAGGCAACCGTACTGATTCCAAAGCATTGTCTCGCCGTATATGAGCAAATAATTTACTTTTGTTTGTTTGCCAGAATACACAATGCCACCTTTCTCCAACTCAGTTTATTTCATGAACATGCTGTATTGATTTTTGTATTAAAAAGCAAGCTTTTAAGTCGGCGGTTCTTTTGTAGCTTAGCTACAGTTGACATTACAGATTTTAATATTCTAGCGAATTTTTACCAAAATGTCAGTTCAAAGGCTATTTAACAGGCTTTTTAAATACTCTTTACAAAAATAAAAAACTATCTTGGATTTCGCAATTGTATTTCTTTTTTTAGAGAAATCGTGCTAATATGTAGGCTGGTAACTGTGTTTTGCTTCTGATTATCTAAAACACGAATGATTTCAAAGTAAATCACAATTCATATTGAGTTTTAAATTCCTTTCATAAACGCTTAATGGGGAATCAAGGTGTCACCAGCCCTGTCAAAAACTGTAACACAAAATACTTCAATATTTTTCTTTTCTGGAAAGAAAAAAACAAGACTTTTTAAAGA